ATTGTCTGAGTCTTAGACTCGACTTTCTGGAAATGGTTCCTAAGCCTATAGCTAAGACTAAGGCTGTTTCTTTGAGCGATGCTAAGCACGTTCCTATTCCGCGACCGAAGTCTAAGGCTAAGGCGCAAATCCCTGCCGATGCTACAACCGCTTCGGACCCACTTCGCGTTGCGAAAGTTAACAAGCGCAAATTAAGGAAACAATCCTTCGCTTCGCTTCGTAAATACCTTTACTCTGTCCCTGTTGATAATGACCTTCAGGACACGATGGCGCCAACGGATAACATCGCGACTGTCCTCGACGCTACGAACAATGACGCGGTTGACGTTACCGCAGCAGTCCCCAAAACCAAAGCGCCTGGCACCTTACCAGCGCATTTGGTGGAGACTTTGCGGGAATCAGTACCTAACCGCGTCAGCGCCTTGGAGCGTTCCCTGGAAGGGACGAAATTCGTGACGACATCCTATCGTTACGAAATTCGACACAGTGCGTGGAGCTGCAGCTTCAGGAGTTAATCTCCAAGTTGTCCACGCCCACCAGCCCACCACCTCCCAATCCACGGTCTGTGGCCATTTGCAGGATTATTAAGCAAGTGGCTGCGTCTTCCTTGGCTGGCATTTTGTCCAAGGAGAGTCTCCAGGTCACCGCTTTTCAGGCGGCCCTGGATTCCTTGACTATGGATCCGGAAATCACCTTAGAGGAGGTCCGGAAGCTTTGGGACACCGGTGCGGTGGAAAGCGGCCCTGGCGGTAGCGCTACGGACTCCGACTCTGTGCGGCCGGCACTACAGCCCACGGGCAAAACGCCGTGTACCGAGGTGAGTACGCAGAAACGCGTTCCGCTTCCTCCAAAATTTTCGGGGAAGAGATACGCATATTACTTGCACCCGATCATGGTTCGAGTTCCTTTTGCAATACTTTGACTTAATGCAAATGAAGGCCACGCAGAGGACGCCCGGGGCACAGTCCCTTTGGTGTTCACACCAACACTTTTCTTCACCATGGTGTTCGGGCCACTCCAGTCAGACACCGGCACCATCGGCTGATTTCACATATCTTCGAGCCTTTTGGCCAATCTCCTGAACTCATTGATATAGGTCTTTTGGCTTGTGGTGTTAGGGTCGATATCGAGGCGGGACTTCACCATCCCACCCATATGATCTCCATAGCCGTAAAGCTGTCTCGTTGGCTCCACAGTCAATGAGCGCCTGTACGGCATCAGCATGACCGAAGACATCTGCGCGGTGAAGTGGGGT